CTTAATGGGTCAAGGAATAAACACAAAAGGCCTAATAATTTTTAAACCACAAATGGGGCTAGACTTAATCTCAATTGGGTCGGAAATAAACGCAAGAACAAGAACTCCCGATCAATTTGATTGACGACAATTAATAAATTAATCCGGAAGATATATATGTGTATATATATATATATAAACACATAATATTTATTTAATATTAATAATCACTTAAACAATTAATAACAATTAGATATTTATAATAATAATAATAATAATAATAATAATAATAATAATAGTAATAATAATAATAATCATAATAATAATAATAAAAAGAACAAATAATAATAAATAATAACTCCAAATAATTACAATGAAATGGGGTATTACAAAAGAACATAAATGCACACCGCCAACTCGTCTCCTTGTCGCCATGTTTGCCACCTGCTCAACCTGGAATGGGGTGGACATGGGAGTGAGCACAAAACCACTTGCTCACCGCTACGCATATAAATCATATACAAAGACAGATAGGTATTAATACAAGTCCCGCACCCCGACCGGCTGGAAACCGCCTCAAGCTCGTTCTCCTCGCTGGTTGAACGCGGAACCTGCACGAAACTCCCACACCGGAGGTGTTTTCCGGTGAAGAGCCTCCAACGCTCAAGTCAGATCTTGAGAGATAAAATATGTATGTAAATGTAAGAGTATAAGAGATTGTATCTGAAAAATGAGAATCTTCGTCTTTATTTATAGGGACGAGCTACTTGTTCTACACGCGCGACTTAGGTGAGTTTTGTCAGTTGTCCTCATGCTCGTCCGTACAACAGCGCGCTTCCACTATCTCTAATGTCAGTGAACGCGTCGAATCTGTCAGAGAATGTCAGAGTTCGTTATAGCCGCGAGCCACTCATAAAGCGCCGCGTGTCTCCTCCTCACATGCTGGAGGCTCTCTTATTTATCCTGATGTTCGACCGAATCTTCGACGAGCGTCGAGCTGCTCCTCAATTATGAGGTGGTCGAGCTTACGACCACACTCATTTGACCGTGTTTCCTCGACCATCTCCTCGAGCAGGCGGTGCTTATCCGATGCTACCTAGCCTGCTCTCCCTCGTCGGCTACCTTCTTTCCTTCCTTATGTATGTTTGGTCCTATTCGACCAGGTTGCTGATCTATTTTATTCGACTAACCCTATGAACTGGTCTAGTATATAATATCCCATATCATCTAGTCCCCCCACTCTGGTCGAGTCTGAATGACTCGATCTAAGAGTAGGCATTGTCCGTATTGCTGAGGCTCTGCTTCTTTGGTTTCGACCACCTGACACATTTTCTACCTTTGTTTGACCACTTTTCTCCATAACCGCTCTTTGCAATTTCGAATTTCGAATTTCATTACTTGTCCGCCTTTTCGGACGCGTCCTTTCGTCTGTCAGGGCTCATCATTGCCTCGTGACCCGCAGTCCCTCGTACTTCGTGCCGCCTTAAAACCCTCATTCCCATTGGCCGTCAGATCAACTACTTTAATCCGTCGGTTAGCGATCCTCTGCCTTTCCACCTGCCTTCTCATCTCAGCCCTTGAACTTCGTGATCCAACGGCTGGTCTTTCTCCTCGTTTACTTATTTCCCCTATAAATACTGACACTTAATAGATTTTCCTTTTCTTCACCCTCGCATTCTCGCATAATATCAAGCTTCTCTACAAATCGTGCTCTTTTGCAACTTCACGGTCCTCGATCTCCCAGCCGGCAGAGCATCATTCACCATGAGTAAGTCTTCTCAACCCTCTCTCAAAGTACTTTCATCGAATTATTAGTTTTATCTCTCTTCCCCTTTGTTTCTCCTCGCGTCTTGTTCCTTCGATTTCTGCCCTTCTACTGTGCCGCGTTTCGCCCTTCTTCCTCTTTCTTTTCTTTACTTAAATTATTTTTTTTTCTTTTTTCTTTCTTATTTTTTAGATTCTGCTACTTCGAGCGAAAATGATCGGTACAGTGGCAATGACATGACCTCTCCTTCCTCTTCCGCAACTCCCAGTTTATCGAGTGATTCTGTCCAAGAGATTCTCCAACTCGTGCCTATTTCAATGATTCAACCTGCTGTTGTCAGCGATAGTCCTACAGCCACTGCTATCTCTCTCTCCACCTACCTTGTTAACCAACCGGAGGATGAGATTACCAGCCGCCCTCCTTCTCTCCCCGCCGAGCGTGTTCGTCGAGTTGTAGGTCAAGATGACGAGATCGAAGACGAGGACGATCCCCAGGACCACATCCCACTGTCTGCTCGTGATCCAACAGACTTTGTTTCCCTATCCTCTCACGCCCCTGTCTCTTCGACCATACATTCTTGTTCCCATCAACCCAAGTCATCCAAACGGTCCAAATCGTCTAGATCATCTTCGAGCATTACCCGTCTCGACATTGATTTGATTGGTCATCCGGGACTACTCGTACCCCTGGCGATGATGATACATACGATAACCCTCTTGATGGTTATTACACATTCTTCCGATCCCACTTCATCCTAGGTCTTCATTTTCCTATCTGCCAGGCATTAATCGACCTATGCGGTTTGTATGGCCTGCCTCTCAACCAAATCACCCCAAATGCCTTTAGGACATTAGGGTCCTTTATCATTTTGTCAATGGTCCACATGGGTAGAGTAGATTTAGATTTTTTTTCATTTATTGTTATTTTGCTTCGAAACAATCGGACGGCCTCTATTTAAAAAGTCAGAATAAAGCTTGTTTCATTACTGATCGACCATCCAATGTTCCAAGATGGAAAGATCAGTTTGTGTACATGCGTCCCCCACAGCCTTACCCTTGGGCGCCCACCCCCTGGTTCACAGAGGTGCCCCTTAAACCTGCTCGTCCTCCTACTAACCCGATCTTCGACCGCCGCATACAGGTGTGGAACTCAAATCCCGTCGCTTCTACCCCTTTGCTCGAAGATAATAACCTTCTCCACTATTGTGGCATCCTTATTCATAAAAAACTTTCTCCTCCTCTCGCCGAGACCATTCTTAATGTTCGTGTCGACCCCCAGCTTGCCGAAGTTAATAGGACAGCTTGAGCAGGTGCTCGAGTCATCATTATTATATGCTTTGGATTTATTACGTTTTATGTTATCGAAAAACTTTTAACTAACTCTGTTATTCATGCAGAGGGATTTTTGCATAAGCCAGACCTCAAGAAGTCCGGAGATAGGAGGTCCACTCATAAGGACACCCCAGCCAATGTCGAGAAGGCCAAGGGGCAGTCCTCGACCAAAGACGTTGCTTCTCGTCCTGAGAGGTCCGGGGCTCCTTCTCACTCGAGCAAACAGCGAGCTCCTTCTCCTCCCTCCTCACAGGTCGAGCGCCCCCGAGCCACTCAGCTAAGAAGAGCGAGGTCTCTAAAAAGCACGCTCGATCGGAGGTAGTCGGCCAATAGTCTACCAACCATCCTTCTTCTCCCAAGCGATCCCACCATGATGGGAGGTCTGTGGCTGACCACGTCGTCCAACATCCTTCTTCATCCTCCCCCCTTTCTCTTGTATCTGCGGGACCTCGGGAGGTCGTGTCACGGTTGATGTGTTTCTTACCATTCGACGACACGCACCGATGGGGGATGAATCGTCGAAATCAAGCTGAATATGGCGTTCGTGCTTTGACCCAGGTACCTTTCTCTTATAGTGTTGTTCCGTAGTATTCTTTTTATGCACTTCTCTCACTCTTTTTCATGCCACAGACTCTCGTTTCCATCGTGCCTCTCCTCGAGGAGACAATGAATGGCACTGGTCGCCCCATTCCTGTGCTCGAGGGCGACAACCGACGCCTCGAGGAAGAAAATAGAAGGTTGAAGGTAGAGAATGAAGACCTGCTGAAGACGCACCACGCGCTCGCTGAGCAACTAAAGAAAGATGAGCAGCGGTACAAAGACGCNCTGAAGGGCAAGGATAAGGCCCTCGAGGCGGAGCGAGCTAGTCGAAAGAAGGAAGTGGAGGCTGCTGCCGTCACTGCGATAGAGCAGTATTGTCGGGCCTTGTGGAGGATTCAGCTGGGTCAGGCATTCCTCCAAGCCTATCGGGAGCAGCTGATCCAATATTATCTTTGCTCGACTGCATTCCTCAAGGAGGCCGCCGAGATGGGGATGGACTTCTATACTTACAGTATGGAAGAGGTCGAGCGCCAACTGAAAGAAATGGGGTTTACAGGCGAGCTCGACCAGGACAAGACATGGGAGGCGATTCCCTCTGCACCCTCTAACTTCATCGGCGATCCTAGCTTACCCGCTGAGCATCCATGGTGGACCGAGTCTTTAGAGCGGAGCTTGGCAAGGGATCCCTCCTTGAAGAGTTCCTTCGATGTGCCCAAGCCTGGCGAGGCGCCCATAGTTCATCTTTCTGTGACCATCCTTCCTCCTCATCCCTTGACCACTAATGCTCCCTCGTCCACCTCTAGTCCATCTACCTCAGTCATTGCCCAGACTGCTATTGCCTCTCTTTTTTCGACCGTGGCCACACAATCGACCACCACTGTTGTTGCTTCAGCTACAATTACGGCCCCACAGTCATCCGCCGCGACCCAATTGGGCTTTGCCACGATTTCGTCGTTAGTTTCCGGCACACAGTTGGCTGCTTCCGCCGCGTCCTCGACCGCGGCTGCTCAGTCGACTACAGCGGTGCAATAAACATCTACTGCAGCGTCTGCTTTGACTCCTGTTGCGCAATCTACTGTTGCTGCTCAATCCACTGCTGCCCCCACGAAGTAGTTAGTTCTTGACGATGTACTTTCATCTTTCTCTTTGGTGCCTTTTGTAATCTTGTACTCTTGATTTCGTGAATTGAGAACTTGATTTTGTTTTCCTCGTGGTGTGTGA